TATTTTTGTAAAAACAGCATATCATGTGTTTAAATTCTTAATTATATGAATGAGATTAGGATTTACCATAATCAGACATAGCCTATCTTTTACCTTTTTAGCCCTGGTTAACTGTGGTCTGAAGGGGGACAGTTTTTCCTTTACTTTTTCAGTTCTCAACTGATGGCTGCATATAGTATGTGTATGTCCAAAGGAGGAAGACATATTACCACCCATAGATTAGAATGATTATTTCAGAATTCTCCGATAAACCCAGCTTCTTCTTAAGTATCCCCCCATTTCCATTCAACTAATCTCATCATCAAATGAATTTTTAACTGTATTTTTACATTTCCTAGGGGTAAACCACTTACTAGATTTTATTTTTAATAAAGATTCCACAAACTGAATTTGATTTTTTTCATAAAAACACTATAGTAGAAACACCTAACAATACCCAATAACTTAGGCAAATAATCATGAATGTAGCAATTACTAAGTTATAACTTATACTCTAATAGTGTCAAGCTTTCTAAAATACTTAGCAGAAATATTTATACAATACAATGTACAAAGTTCTTATCTTTATATTTCCTTATTATTATAATCATAAATTGTAATATGACGGAAAACTCATCAGAATCACAGAATATAGAAGTACTTCCTCAAGGCAAATCTTGATGGATAGTTTTGAAGAAACTTTTTAAGAAAACATTAGGAACAGTTAGGGGCTTTTGCAGGAACTGGCATTTCTTTCTTATTCAGGTCATGATTGCAAAATTTCCTTTTAAATACAGGCATAGTATTCCAGTTGTTGGCCATTCTACTCTTTAGCAGAAAGAGGAGTGGATTTATTTTGCTTTCTTTAGCAAGCAACCTCACCCTCTCTCCTAGTGTTAAGGAGGGACAGTATTGTCTTTTAAATTCCTAATCCAGTCTTTTTTACTGAACTTTCCATTACTCGAGCCTTTATAACTGTTGCTACTTCATTGTGTTGCCTCAGTGTCATATGACTTCACAGCTTTGACACAAGTGGTAATGAATGAGTTTGAGTCCAATTCACATAATCTGGAAACTTTTCATCTTGGCCATAGGCCTTGAATTTTGCTTTATGGCATAACTATCACTGCAATTGGAACTAAACTTTGGAACTTTTTTCCTTGTATCCACTATTGTAAAGGATACCATTTTACTATAAAGTAGTGAAACCAGCTTTGTAACAAGGCCACTAAAATGTTTAAGTTAATTAACAAACAAAATTTTGTTTACAATCTTGTTTCAGTACAAAGTACTCTACTAAAATGAACCTATCTGAACCTAGATAGATTTTGTTTGTTTTTAATGAAGGATAGGGTATTAAGCCCATGTGTGAAAAGAATGATTATCTAACACAATCAAGTTTTTAAATATAGAATTCTTGGCAAAATTAAAGATCCACCTGTTTGATACCTGTGTTGAAAAGCTGAATTTTCCTGAAGAATTTATAAAACTGACTTCAAAAAAAAAATGTATCCATACAAAATGTGAGCTTTGTAATGCTTTGCCAGAGTCAGAAAGACCAAGAGTAATCATGTAAATTATTGAAAATTACCATTGTCTGGCATGATTTCTCCATGGCTTCAGAAATTGCAGTATATGAGGAGGGAGTGTTCTTGGTTGGCCCAGTTCCTTCTTTTTCTGTTTATTTCACTTATCCTCACGTAAACATACCATCTCTCCTTACAATAATAGATCATTTCTTGGGAATCATCTTAAGATGATGAGCCTTTTTATTAGAAACTTATAACAGTCATCTGTTTTCTTGTGAGGTAAAATAAGTGTGTCAAATCTCTTACAGATTTGGGGCGCCTGGGTGGCTCAGTCGGTTAAGCGGCCGACTTCGGCTCAGGTCATGATCTCACTGTCCGTGAGTTCGAGCCCCGCGTCGGGCTCTGTGCTGACAGCTCAGAGCCTGGAGCCTGTTTCAGATTCTGTGTCTCTCTCTCTGCCCCTCCCCTGTTCATGCTCTGTCTCTCTCTGTCTCAAAAATAAATAAATGTTAAAAAAATTTTTTTTTTAAATCTCTTACAGATTTATCTTTAAAGGTCAGCATTTTCCTCTCTTTGTTGATGCTTTAAGATTCAAGAAACGATGTCTTTAAGGAAAGTACTTTCAGCATTTTATGTTTGTTCATCTGAGTCACAATAGATACTTAAGAAGTCAATTTATTTTCATTAGAAATGGTTTGCTACTAAAAAAACATACAGTTACAGGGTGCCTGGCTGGCTGTGTAGAGCACGTGAATCTTGATCTCGGGTCATAAGTTCGGTACCCATGTTAGATAGAGATCACTTTAAAATAAAATAAAATAAAATAAAATAAAATAAAATAAGATAAAATAAAATAAAATAAAATAAAATAGAATAGAATAAAATTCATACAGTTATATCTTACATGTTATCCAATGTTCAGTTTATTTCAATAAAATGAATTTAAATATAAGTTGAAGAGATAAGTGATTTATTTTAAAAAAAACTAAATGTTCCATCTTAAAATTTAAAAATTGGCTTGTCATTTTTAAGTCCCTTAAGGGAAAGGCCTCTTTGTATATGTAAATATTTTTGTTCTCAAATGCATAGCATGGTGACAGGAAGATAACAAGTACTCAGTAAATATTTGTGGAATGAAAAACTCTTCCCTACACACATTCATTTATATGTGCCATTTCAATCCCATTGAACTCCTATAAAAGAAAAATAATTATGTCATCAGCCAGAATCTGTGTCTAGCAAACTCCTGTATGTATGTCTGAAAAAAAAAAAAAAATAATAATAATTCTTTAAAGATAGTTTAACTGGGTATAGAATTCTAAGTTTATATATTTTTTTCCTGTCTGCATGTAGAAGGTATTGTCTTCTGGTGGTGGTGGTGTTCATGAGAAGTCTGTCTTCAGGTTGATTGTCATTTCTTTGTGGGATATCTTGTTTTTTCTTTCTGGCAGTTTTTAAGATATTCTCTGTGATATAACAAAGTACAGATTTATTTTTATTTTTCCCACGAGAGATTTGCTTTCCCTTTTTAGTTTGAGGATTCATGCCTTCTTCAGTTACCTGCCATTATGTCTTTATATTATCTCTTCTGTTTTCTCTGTTCTTACCTTCTAATATTTTACAGACTTTGGTATGTCTTCTGCCATGTCTTCTTTCTCTACCACTTTATCAACTATCATTGTAAGACTGTTTAGTATGCTGCTTAACCCATGTTTTGAGTTTGTTCCTATCTCTATTTTTTATTTCAAAACCACATTTCCTTTTTAGAGTTTGTGTTTGGCTCTTTCAGATCTGTCTATATAATACCAGCCCTAGTATATTCTATTCTTTCCTTTATCTTTCTGGACTTGCTAATGATTTAAAGTCTCTTGCAGATTGCTTTGTTATCTATAATTCCTCAGATACATATTCTCACACTTGTTGCTTCTGCCCATTTTCATGGGGGTGGGTTTTATATATTCTTCATAATTTTTGCCCAAACCCACCCCCCCGCGCCTCCGCCGCGGCCGCCACCACCACCCATCAGCATCAAAAGCATTCTCTGGATTATAGAAATCTTCCCATGGTATGTTTTTATATTCACTCCTCATTGAGATCTATGGTTTTCACTGATTCTGGACCAGTTTTTTATGTTGGTTTTTAGCTTAGATTTTCCATTCCACCCAGGTGCTACAAAATCAGATTCCACAAATGGCACAGGCTGGGCATTCCAGTGATTCTTCCTATCTAGAATAGGAAGGTAGCCTGCTTCTCTTCTGTGTTCCCAGTTTGGACTTTCCTAGCTTTAATTTGCAAACTGGATAGCCTCTTAATTCCTACTGTGTTTTTGGTTTGTTTGTTTTTTAATACAGGGAGTTCAGTCATTTCCATCTCCCCTCTATACATGGGGTCTAGTAAACTATAACTTAAGACCCTAACTCTGGACTGCTGAGCATCAGCTCCTATTCACCACTTCTTTGTTTTTGGCACCTAGAGATTTACCTTTCTCACTTCTGAGCTCAAATGTAATTTTGTTGTTGTTACCAAATTGTATCTAGTCTTCTCATTTTGGAGTGGGGTAGGGCTTTCCATGTGTTCACTGTACCATCTTCTCAGGGAAATTGGAACCAATAATTAAAATTATTTTTTTCTTGACTCAGTGTTTTTAACAATTTATGTTAGACAAGCAACAAGTATAGTCTGTAAAATAAATATAATTCTATATATAGTGTCAACCAACTGTAGTTAGCATCTTAAAATCACTAAATATTCTGGCAATCTAGTAGAGATTAAAAGGTAGGATTTATGAAAATGGTTTCTTATTTAATTATCACATAAAGATTGTTATTATTTTAAAGTTTGGCTACTTATGTAAAATTAAATAAAAATCTGATTAATAATATTGAGGGAAATTACTGATTTAAGAATTTTAAATATCTCGTTTTTATGCCATTATTTTTATAATCATTAATTTTTATTCTCATTTAGGATTGTGGATATCAGCATGTATATAATATCCCAACAAACTTGACAATGAAGGCATCATATTATTGCTATTACTTTTATTATATCTTTAAGAAAGATATATTCTGTAACATATATTTTAAATGATGGACACCATGGAAACATCATAGTATTGGCATTACTTTTATATATTTCATAAATATATAAAATATAAATATATATTTATAAAATATATTTATGAAATATATAAAATATATAAATATATATTTATATGAAATATTTATTTTATAAATATAAATGTTTATATTTCAAATATATAAAATATAAATATATATTTATGAAATATATAAAAGTAATATATAAAAGTAACTTATTCCTGTATCTTCTTTTTAAAAATCTAAGTTAACTAACATCTCTCATATTGTTATCAACTAGAGAATATGATATACTTGATTATAAAGAGGTTTTGGAAAAAATAAGGCCATCTCCTCATTTGACCAAAAATGACTATTTTTTCAGACTTAGGTTTTGCATTCCTTCTCTTTCCAGACACATAAAGAAAAAATGAAGAAAGATATATTGACACTTTCAAAGAAAGACCAACAACTAAGTGAAGGAAGCATTTCATTTCCCCTTTACATTTCACACCCTGTAAGCCAAAAGAAGAAAAAAGTCTACCGCACAGACCAGACCACCTTTATAATTGGAGAAACACCAAAAGGGATCCGCAGGTATGTGTATAGCAACACTGGACTTTAAAAATTATTCTCAAAAGAAATATAGCTACTTAATAAAATACACAAATAATTTGAATCTTAACCATACTTGGCAGCTGAATTTGTATACTTCAAAAAATAAATTCAAAATGTTTTAGATGTTTTTAGAAAGCTAATCCCTCAATTGATAAAAAAATGAAATCATTTTATATGGATAAATGAAACACTTAATTGCATTTTATTTACTCTTTGAATATTGAGCACCTAATATGCACTCAGGCATTGTGCTAGGTTTTACACAGACAGGATAAAAAAGGACAGAGTTTATAGTGCAGTGAGAGTTAAACCATAAAACTTTCAAAAGTTAAAAAAAAAATTATAAATAATTATAAAATGGTGTATTATAGGAAAGAAGTGGACAGGCCTGGTTGGTAGAGAATAAGGTGACCTGGAGGGGGGCCAATGGCTTTCTATTGGGTAGAGAGTAAGACCTCACAACAGAGTTGGCATCTGAGACCTGAGGGATAACCAGGCAAAGAACTAGGTTAAGGACATCCCTAGGGAGCAAAGAGGTTTGATGTGCTCAAGGAACTGAGAGAAGACTAGTGTACTTAGTGCATAATAAACCAAGCAGAAAGACATGAGCTGAAGGCCAAGACATAGATGGGGCTGGAGCATGCAAAGCTCTGTAGGTTGTGGATAAGAGTTTGGATTTTGTCCCAGGTGTGTCAAAGCTATTGAGGCATGAACATGATCTGATGTATGTTTCTCAAAGATTGTTCTAGTTTCTTTGTGGAAGAGAGCAGACTAGGGAAGACCATAAGGAACTAGCCAATGGTGGTTTACGATAGAGTGGTTCCCATGGAGATAGAGTTTGGTGGATGAATTCAGTTTGGTATGGACTGGTTGTTGGGAAAGAGAGAAAACAAGACTACTCTTAACTTTTCCATGGAGCAACAGACTGGATTTACTAAAATGGGGAAAACTAGGAGTTTGGACTGAAAAAAATCAAGAGTTCTCTTTTGCTTGTATTAAATTTGAGGTTCTATGGAAATAGGATTTGGGGACTAAAGATCTAAATGTGGAAGTCATCAGCATTGAGATTTTAAATGGTTTTAGAGCCACAAGTTATGTGAACAGCCTAGGAACCCAGCACAGACAGAAGAGAAGATAGGACTGAGCCTTAAGGGGACAGTGGCCTGCTGGGTAGGAGGCACACTATAAGGTCCTGAAGTCCAAGAGGAATGAAAATTTCAAAATGGAGGAAGCACTTCATTTTATTAAATGCTGCTGAGAACCAGAATCAGATGAAGTGGAAAAGTGCCTTCCAGAACTGGCAGGAGAACTCACTGACTGCCTTGATGTGAGCAGTCTACAAATCCCTAGGCAGACTCAGGGTGAGGTGGGAAGCAGGGGATGGGCAGATCTTGAGACTGGTCTGTGAGTGTGAAAAGTTGCGGTAGTTGGAGGGCATTGTGCAGTCAAAGGTAAATTTTTTTAAGTTGGGAAGACAATAGAACCTATTTGTGTGTTGAGGGAAAAAACCAATATGGAAAAAAAGAGATCATGCTGGAGAAGTGGTAACAGAAGTCCTGCAGAGCAGGAGAGGGTGGGATCCAGACTACTGAAGAAGGTCTAGCCTTTGAGAGGCATCAGAAGAGGAGGGATGGAAGATGGGCATAGATGCGATATTTTCTCAATTAACTGAGAATTAAAGTATCAAATCAGAGGGAGAGAAATTTCAGGAGAGAAAAGTCATGAAATAAATCATTTATCAATTAGAACAGCAAGCTTGGTGAGACTAGAATTCATGGATCATGTTAAGTCCCTGTTGGAGAGTAATTCCAGTAAAAGCATCCATGCAGTTGTGCAGACTTTGTTCAGCCAGGCTTCAATTGCTCAGTTGCAGACACAGAATAGGGAGATGGCTGGGTTTTATCAGGGGTTAGAATGGAGGGAGAGAGAAGCAAAGAAGCTGAAAGATGTTTGCAAAGGAGTAATTATAAAGTCGAACCTAAGCTAAACAAGGGGAGGCTTGATGAGGTCAGAAGTATCTTCCAGCATTGTTGTCATGGGGGAATTAAACAGTTGAGCTGGATTATGAGGTGACTAAATTCAGGGATTTGCAGGTTGTGCAATTAATGGTAATGACAATGGCAGTATATGTCCTTAGGAATAGGGACCTGACATTCTGTTGAGTCTTGGGGAGTGGGGGATGGTGGTAAAGAAATTGGTGGGCTAGGAGTTGGAGTTACATGGGCCATCCACACGGATGTTGGTGTTGTCAAGAGTGATGGCAGGAGATGGGAAAGGAAACAGGATTGATCATGAGTTCAGTCACTAGGAGGAAGCGACTAAGAGGTCAGTTGACAAATTGAGGGAAAGAATGGATTAGCAGGATAGCATAAACCTGCAAAAGGGAAAGGAATCTTTAAGAAAAAAAAAATGGTCTGGAAGCAGCATGTGAAGCATGAACCCTGAGGTTTAAGATGTGAGGTATAAGAGCCTTATCTTGTGAGGGCCGTATGGGAAGAGGTGGCATCATGAGGGGATAGAGGGACCATCTGGGGAGAAGAACAAGGGAGTTGGTAGAGCATAGCCTCATTCCAGGGGCTGAGGAATGGTCTGGAAGGCTGAGGGATTCCATTAGATTGGGGAGGAAGAGACTAGGACCAGGAAAAGGCCTCGGGTTACAGGTGACTGAGGAGTAGTGACTGAGCTAAGCAGGGATGAAAGGCATGGTTGAATTGACCCTGAAGGCCTCTGAAGACAATGGGCAAATGGTGATGGTTCTCCCTGTTCCAAATTCTTTCCTCACGGGTTTGGTAGCTCCTCAGCCCTTGGGTGCTGGTGTGGTAGGCTAGAGTGTGGCTCTCAGCTACCCACCATTGCCCAGAAAGGCAAACACCCTACATGCTACAGTAGCATCTCTCCTCATAAATAGACTTACAATGATGATTCTGGGCAAATTTGGGGTAATTTGCTTTGAGCAATTATTTTGTTCAGAGGCAGACCATAATGGATTTTACCAGTTTTTAAAGAGCACAAGTGTCTTTATCTCCGTTAGCACTGTATATAAAAATAAAACTATTAACAAATGATTAGATTTTTCTTCTCTCACTTTCTTCTCTGCCCATCCCAGGGAATAGATGCCTTAGGCTAAGTGAAAGACTAATGTTAGAATGCCAACCTCTGACCTAGGGATCGATGTCAGAACTGCTGACACATCTTTCCCCCTAATCATCCTCTTTTATGAGAATCACGAATCCGTACCAGCTGTGGCCATCAGGTCATCGGAATGAAGTTTCAGTTCTCCCTTCACTTAAGAAAGCTCAGGCAAAGAGAAGATGACTTAGCTGTGTCCCACCATTTTCCCTCAGTTCTCATGAAAAGGGGAGAGAACTTGAATTATATACATGACACACAACTACTCTGGATATATTTGCTAAAATATACCTGTCTTTGATTTCCTTTTTTTTTTTTTCTTTCTTCTAGTGACTTATGAGTGTCTACTTTAGTTTATTAAATTTTCCTTACAAAGTGGCTAGTTTATACCTCCTGAGTGTACCTTCCTTAAATACTTAGAGAAAATTCTTTTAAAGACCAAGAATTATGAAAGCAAGTTAGAAGGCAAAAATAAAATGAATTATAATCAATCATATTCATCCTGTAAAGGACAACCTCCCAGCCTAATTTACTTGCATACTACTGGTATAACATGGGGTCAGAAGCTCTCCTCCCAAAAGGGACAGAATTGTAAGATTCTGAGTGAGGTCAGCACAGCAAAGGTGAAGTATTCTGGCAGCTTCTGAGACACCACCAAGTCTTGGATAAATAAGACATCAGCCTGTAACTTTGCCAATAACTTAATCTTCGCAGCACAAATATTTATTAGAAAGGCCATGAAAATGGATTTGGAGATGATTAATAAACAAAATAATACCTCATTATTTCATATGAAGTAAAAACTGGAACCTTTTAAGAACGTGCTTGTTGCTTTCCAACAAGAACATTGGCAATTTCCAGGACAGAAATTTGGAAGCTTGTATTTGTGTTATTAAATATTCTCTTGGCAGCAAGAGTGGCTGTTGCTCAGGCATAGATAATATCTGGACTTGGAACAGTGAAGAGGACCAGTGCAGTGAAGAGGACTAGAAGGCAGGGTGCTCATCTAAAGCCACAAAAGTCATGAGCATGCACGATGGATGCCACTAAAATCACAGGAAACACAAACTTGACATAACCTGGCCTGAGCAGCAAAATAATAATGGCTTTAAAGCTCCAAATTACATACATTACAAATAAATCATTATTTTACCCTCAGGATTCTCTGTTGTGTGTGCAGGATAAAATTCAAACTTTTGAAATTGACATACGGACCCTTCATGATAGTCAGCCTCTTCCTTGGCAATTTCTCCTGCCCCTCTGTGTACCAGGTTCTCTCTGAAGTGGGCCTGTGCATGTTCCCTGTTCCCTGGCCGGTTTCCTCACTTACCCTTGCCTGACTGGTGACACCAGAGAAGCCTTCCCTGCTACCTTACCCATGATCCATCACTGGCTCAGGTACCCCTTCTGTGGGAACCCACAGGACCCTGTATTTACATCTGTAGTGGGATTTATCACTCTCTTCTGGTTTGGTTTTCATGTGTCTGTCTCCTCCAGCTTGACTATAAACTCCTTGAAGAATATGGTGATCGGCTGGTCACTGCTGTATAGCTCTATGGTGCCTAGCACATAGAGGGTCTATAAATGTTTGTTGAATGTATAAATGAATGTTTTAAGGAACTATATCAAATATAAACATAATTCTAAAACTTTGGGACTTTTAATCATGTGTTACAACACCATCTGGCTTTTTTTAAAAGAATGTTTACAAACACAGAGCTCTCCTGATTCATGGCCCAACTCAGCATCAGCAAAGCAATACCCTCTGTCTTTGTCTGCTCCATCTGCCATAGCAAAATACTATAGACTGGGGCTTAAACAATAGAAAGTTATTTCTCACAGTTCTAGAGCCTGCGAGGTTGAAGATCAGGGTGCCAGCTGATTTGGCTCCTGGTGAGGGCTCTCCTGACTTGCAGATGGTGACCTCATCGTGTCCTCTCTTGGCCGAGAAAGATATTTCTGATGGCTTCTTATGACCTCATTTACCCTTAATTACCTTCTAAAGGCCCTATCTCCATATACTCTGACTGCGGTTTAGGGCTTTGAAGCCCATAATGAATTTGAGGGTGTTGCAGTTCAGTCCATAGCACCCTCACCTGGGGAAAGGAGCACAGTCTGGTGTCCAGGGTTGTGAAACAATCTTTCTGCCTCTGTCTTACCAGGGTTCTGGAAGGTCCATTTTCTCACACATGCATACAACAGCTTTTGTTAGTATCTTATACTAAGAGTAAAACTCACTCCTTTAAATGACATCTCATTTCTTAGTTTAGCTGTCTATACTCAAGGCAGGCCAGTTGGGGGAAGAAAGAATCTAGGTTTATCAGTTTAGAATTTTCCTTTAGGACCATCAAAAAGTTGTATGAAATTTCTTTGTTGTATTTGTGGAAGAAGGGAAAAAAGGAGAGAAGAAAAAATCCCTTTATTTTTCAGAATTTTCTCTTTTCATTAAGACCTTTTTTTGACAATTTTATTTCATAGGACTTGAATGCAATATAGATTTTCAGACAGATTATATAAATTATGATTCTCATGTCAGCCGTAAGTTGGCTGACTGGAGGAGCAGCATGCTGGGATCCCATCATTCCCAGGAAATGCCTAATAGTATAAATCAAAATAACTTCAAAAGCTGGTGATTTCATGAACTAGATTTTTTTTTCACTAGCATAAGGAAAGAGGTCACATTCTGCTAGTGTAAAATGCATTTTCATTATGGAATTAAGTTAATATATACTAAATCAATAAGATTACAGTTGACCCTTGGACAACACAGGTTTGAACTATGTAGGTCCACTTACTGGCAGATTTTTTTCCAGTAAATACAGTACTGCAAATATATTTTTTCTTCCTTGTGATTTTCTCAACAACATTTTCTTTTCTCTAGCTTACTTTATTGTAAGGATACAGTATATATAATATATGTAACATGCAAAATATGTATTAATTGACTCTCTACATTATCAATAAGGCTTCTGGTCAACAGTAGGCTAATTTGGGGGAAAGTCAAAAGTTATATTCAGATTTTTGACTACACAGGGAAACCTAACACCTGTGTTGTTCAGGGATCAACTGAACATTGCTTTGTGTCTTTTTTTAATATCACTGATGGTGAGTTCTTTAAAAATAAAATAATAAAAATAACTACTGGTTTTGTTCATTAAATCTTCAGAAAACAATTTGAAGAAATGGCTTCTTATTTTAACTTGCCTTCTGTAAAGGAATTTGCTAAAAATATAACTAATGCTACATCAGAAGAACGACAGAAAATGCTAAAAGACTTTTATGCTTCTCAGTATCCGGAGGTAAAAGAATTTTTTGTGGATTTTGCTTCAGAATGCATTAAAACTTCCTGTCAGAAAAGAGAGAGAGTCAGGAATAAATCTGAAAAAACAGAATCTCTTATAAAAGAAGGGCTGTCAGATTCTGCAACTTTGGCACTTAAAGATTCTCCCAAAAGAGTTTCTCAAATTTGCAGCCCAAAAATATATAAAGAAAAATCCATTGAGTTTCAAAATCACGGTTCCCATAGGGAACAGGTACTTTCTAATGACGGAGAGACTACCAAATCACGTATGAGCTCTACCCAAGAGACTGACAATGGAAAAAACAGCCAAGCATCCAAAGATACTGTAGTATCCTGTTCCCTGAACAGTAAGTCTGAAGCATATGAGTTAGAAAAATTAGAAAATACTATGAAAGAGCAACAAAACCCAACAAGAACAGGCATTTCAAGAAACGGACCCCTTTTCAAAGTGGAAAACAAGAAGGTAGAAAATCCAGTGTTAGGAAACACTTCCGTGGTAGGCTTACTTGGCGACACATCTATTCTTGATGACCTCTTTAATAGTTATGGGAACAGTCCCACACAGCTGCCAAAGAAAGTTCTTTCAGGGCCCATGGAAAAAGCAAAACAGAGACCAAAAGATTTCTGGGACATCTTGAATGAACAGAATGACGACAGCCTTAGTAAACTCACTGACTTGGCAGTGATAGAGACTCTATGTGAAAAAGTGCCCCTTGCCGCACCCTCCAAAAGGAAAGAGGAGCCGAAAACTTCGCTTTGGAAATCAAATGAGAAATTTTTGTGGAAAAAATTTAGCTTAAGTGATACAGATGAAAACACAACTAGTGCACAAAACTAATGCGTAAACACACAATGAATTACTGTAACTATGAACTTCTGCCATCCATGTTTACCACACTGTATTCCACACTATGTTATCTTGAACACAGCTGTCATGCATTTTTATTAAACTCTTGCTCTAGGGTTTTTTTTAGCCTAAAAGGTTATGATGGATTTGTTTTCCTTGATATCTGATTTGATCTTTTAAAAATATGATTGTATTATAGTATGAACCTCTGTTATGAAATAGAAAAAGTCTAGATTTGTTATCAGGAGACCTTGGACATCTGTCTTACTGTGTAATTATGTGCCTGTAGATAAGTCATTTACCTTCGTGTGTAGATACTGCCTAATATGAAAGATGAAGGGTTTGAACTCAACAGTTGTGTCCTTTCAGCTTAAAAACACCTTTGGTTTACTTTCCCAGATTCCATTTGAAGTCATAGGCCGAGTTATGGTCATCCCCCAAATCAGGTGTGCATTGATGTGTTTCTTTCTTACTAGCATTTAGAAAAGTATTAAGTTAACTGTTTTCCTTTTCCCTCAGTATCACGTACTATTGCTAAATTATTTTAGGTGAGGGTAATAACTAGTAATGAATATATGATGTTGTGTTAAAATAAGCTTATAACTGCTCAAAATCAAAGGGTTAATGTTGTATAACTATACTATATGAGATATGACACCAAAGTAATATAACTACTACCAGTAGCCACAGAACACCAATGCCTCAACTTTTTATACAACAATTAGGATTTAATCAATATAAATTAAGCTTTGTATAGTACTTTTGTATTAAGTATGGTGAAATGAGGAAACATTTTATTTGAAACTATTCTCTTTTGCTGAATTGAATTTATGTGGTTTACAATCAACAGAATGTGCTTATTGTTGAGTTCATTTACGTGGAAACATTCACTCAGTCCCTATGTGTCCTGTGCCAGTGCCTCGGGAGGGATAGGTGAGATACTGCTACGGGTGAAAGATAAGGAACCATATCTGTAAAGAGTCATGTGTGTAGAGCCCCTGGCATCATGCCTGGCACATGGCAGCAGGGACCTGATCCACATTCAGATGCCCAATGGTAATTCCCTTAAGTTGAGCTCCTGGAGCTGTGGAAAAATAGAGGAGGAAAAATAGAAAATAGCAGTGAACCCGGAAATGGTGGTACTAAGAGCACTGTAAATTGTTGTTGTGTTGAGCGGGGAGAGCTTCAGAGTACCCAGCCATTGCAGTGGGGAGCCATGGCTCAGAAATGGAAAAAACAAAACAAAACGAAAACAAAGAAACAAAGAAATCTTTTAAGAGACTGAATAACCAAATATGTTTTTCAATGTGATGTGGTTGAGGGCTGTGAAGTATATTTTATGTCATGACCTAGTATATATGTGATGAAATAAAATGTTTATGAAAGAGTATTTACCTGTAAGGCATGCAGTTGTACTTTGATCTAGAAAAGATGCATAGGAATTTGCTCTTTTGGCTCTTGTGTATGTGTGGTTTTTAATGCTCTCATAACCCACTGAATTGATTTTACAACCCATTAATGATTGAAAATCACAGCTTGCAAATCATTGTTTTTTAGATTAATCTTTTTTTTTTTTCCTACTTGCAGCTGAGTTGTGTTCAAATTTATCAGATGCTGAGTTTCACCACTGAGGTGCTTGCTACAAAATCAATGTGTTGTCTAGTCTGTGGTAGACTTGACATAGAAATGCTGTCAGCCTGCTGTGGGACTAGCTGTTGGGAGGAGGTTGGATAAGCAACTAGATGCCCCTTCATCTCAGCTTTTATACCACTTTTAATGAAAGTGGACCTTTCATAAAATAAAATGCTTTTACATTTTTTAATATAGGGGTGCCTGGGTGGCTCAGTTGGTTAAGCATCCAACTCTTGGTTTCGGCTCAGGGCATGATCTCACGGTTTCATGAGTTCGAGCCCCACATCGGCTCTGTGCTGATGGTGCAGAGCCTGCTTGAGATTCTCTCTCTCTCTCTCTCTCTCTCTCTCTCTCTCTCTCTCTCCCCCTCTCCCTCTCCCTCTCCCTCTCTCTTTCTCACTTTCTCTCTCTCTCTCTTTCTGCCCCTGCCCCGCTCACGCTGTCTGTCTCAAAAATAAACTTCAAAAAAAAAATTTAATATAATGACTTTCAAGTCATAAAATGATATTCACACAATATAATGAAATACAATTAAAGATATTTTTTATAAGTAAAAGTCAAAATGGAAGCAAAAATACAGACCTGGAGTTTAAAAATTAGTTTTCAGCAGTTATCAGTGAAATATGTCATTATTTTCATGCAGGCACAGTGTGTCAAGCAGAGTACAGGGTCCGGTATGAAGAGGAGCCAGTCAGAGTTCCAGGAGAGAAACTGTAAGGGTTGACTTTCCCTGCACTGGAACAGTAGGAGGAGTTGGAGAAACCATTGATGAATCTGGCAACAGACACTATGAAGGGCTGACAATAAGAATCCTGCCCAGGGGCACCTGGGTGGTTCAGGCACTTCGGCTTCTGACTCCTGGTTTTGGCTCAGGTCATGATCTCATGGTTTTGTAAGTTCAAGCCCTGATTGGGCTCTGGGCTGCCAGCTCAGAGCCAGCTTGGTATATTCTCTCTCTCCCCCTCTCTCTGCCCCTCCCCTGTTTGTGCTCTCTCCCTCTCTCTCTCCCTCTCTCAAAATAAATAAACTTACCAACAAAAACCCCACATGGACCATATCACTACTAAAAAACCTTCCAACTTCAGGTTTCCAAGATTTTATTTGCCATAGTCTGTTTTGTTTACTTCTTTTTAAAGCACTCTATTGGAAACTGAGGCAAAATACTGAGAGACTTTTGCACTTGAATTCCTTAGGTTTCCCTTAAAGCCCTGAAACCACTTCTCAGAGTAAATTAACATCATCTGCAAGCAGTGTGGCTGCCCCTAAGTGTTCAAGACAATGGAGCCTCACTTTGCAGAGCGGAGTTTGGTGATAAACTTTTCCCCAGTCCACACAAAATGAGAAAACCAAGGGCAGTATAGTTTAAAAATTCAGTGTGTGCAGTTTTTAACGTTTATTTATTTTTGGGATAGAGAGAGACAGAGCATGAACGGGGAAGGGGCAGAGAGAGAGGGAGACACAGAATCGGAAACAGGCTCCAGGCTCTGAGCCATCAGCCCAGAGCCCGACGCGGGGCTCGAACTCACGGACCGCGAGATCGTGACCTGGCTGAAGTCGGACGCTTAACCGACTGCGCCACCCAGGCGCCCCTGTGTGCAGTTTTTAAATTCTGAAGTTATCCTTCCTTTATGATATTAAAATTGTCTTCTTTGTATGAAATGATGGTAGATCGTAATTTTCAGTCTTTTTCATTGTCCTTGATATAAAAGTTGATAACCACATGTTAGTACCCAAAAGTTTTATTCGACATTTACTAGTCTATAAAATCGTTAAGAATATAATAACTGTCTGCTTCAAAGTTCATGAATAGACCTCCATGGCTACTACCAATGTCATAAATCCAGGTAACAGTAGGTCTAGGACCCACCAAGGATGCCAGTGAATCTATAAGATCCTGTACAATGGATCTGCCTTCAAAGAGCCCAGCATGGAGGGCACCTGTTAAGCCCTCACCTAATTCTCACTGGGTTATCATTGATGTAATCTCATTCCCCAGTTCCATCCCCACCTGCTTTTGCAAAGCATCCTCTACCCAGTGCCTCTGGGAGCCTTAAAGAGAAGACTCATAAGTTCAGAAACACATCTTGTCACTAGTGACATGCATTTGCTCAGGGTGACAGCCTTGTGCACTACCCAACCCCCCCCCCCCCCCCCCCACACACACAACACACACACATACACATACTCAGTGCTGGCTTCATGTGGTGTTTATGGCAGGTTGGAAGAACACACTTTTTCTCTGTTAATGGGCAACCACAGGAGGGCTGTCTTGCCTCACAAGGTCTTACAGAGTTTTAAATATAAAAACAGCCCTTTGGGTGTTTTGTCTGCCCTTCAGGGGAAAGACTCAGACTGACCCTCCCTCTCAAGGAAGTCAGAGGCTGTGTGGTTCCCAGCCCAAAGTGGCAAGTCAGAGCCACCTGCAGAGGCTTTTCCATACATAGGTGCCCAAGTGCATCCCCAAGAGATTCTAGTGCTGGAGGTTTAGGGGTCAACACAAGCTCCTATTTGGTTTTTTTTTTTTTTTTAAGTTTCACACTATGATATGATGTCTGAGTCTGTCACTGGGCAGGACTCACCTACCTGACATTCTCAGTGAGCCCCCTCACCCATGGACATACAACAGAGATCATCATGGAGCCACACTGTTCTTTTTCAAGACCCAAAGTTATCGTTGGCATTGTTTTTCAGCTTTCTAATATGTACTTTATTTGCTTTGCTGTAGGTTAACCAATTGCAGTGGTTATATTTATCCCCTGAATTTGAAAATTTAGTCTTAATTATGGGAGTTTGATGCCTTTCTGTCACTGACACAGATAATGCCCAACTGACATTCTTGGTTTTGTACTGCTGTCTCTCATGGTTAAAAATCAAGAATGCCTCTTTCTACAGACATCTTTTCAGTTAACTAAATGGGCCCCTTGTTGAAAGAAATAACTAACTCACTGTATAATGTTTTCACTCATGTAAACAAGGGGGAAAGTATGCATCTCTAAATGTCTTATATGTTTCTAAAAAAATTCTAGTGAGTCATCCTATCAAAATATGAATTAGTCCCCCCCCCAATATATCTTTTAACTTTGATTTTATTTTTTTGTAAAGTGATACATGCTTCTGGACTGAAAGACTTCCAAAAGAAGGTTCATAACAGCTAATTCATAATTTCTTTCTTTCCTAAAACTATAAAAGCATTGATAAGAACAAGAAAAGGTTGTAGTTTTTCAAAACATAAATGCCAACACATGCTCCTTGAGAACTGATTTCACATGATCAGAGGATGCCCACTGGCCCCATCCTGCCACCCACCCACTTGCCAGCGCCTTCCCTATTCTTCCAATGGTTGACTCTTTCTCTGCAGCCAGCACTCACTGTCCTCTCTCCCCATTGCCAACGCCTTAAGTAGTCTCCCTTTAGTGCTGCCTGGCAAAGCACCCCCCCCCCCATCCTTTCAGGTCAGTCCCTGACTCCCAAGTCCACCCCCTCTCCCCAGCATCCCACTCACCAGTGTTGTGGAGCCTCAGTCCCCTGTCCAGCCACTTCATAGCTTCCCCCACTAAATCAGCTTTCCCTGCTCTCCCCCAAACACCTCATCCTACTCAAACCTCTTCACTCCCTCATTCCCCTCACCCCCCACACACCAAGGGAAATGCCAGCAGCAAAGTTGAGCAGGTTGAGTGAGGTGGGAGGAACACTTAATGTCAAACCCAGGACCCTCCAGAAGTCAGATCACCAGGCAAGTCCTTTCCAGGGGCAGTAGTTCACTAACCTGCCCGGAGAAGTCGAAAACAGCCCTGCAAGGGTGCCAGGGACCTCCTGAAATGGCCCGGAGCTGCCACATTGCCCTGAAAGGTACAACAGCTCCTAAAAGACACCTTAGGGCATGGCAGTGTGCTAGGGCATGTTGGAGTGGAGGAGCAGATCTGTGGGTAAAAGGAAAGAGCCACCAAGGAACCCAAGTATAAAATGATGTGTGCTTTCTGACTGGTGGAAACAAGGTGGCTTCCAGAGTCCAAAAGAGGGAGAAGAAACCTGCTTGGGCTAGAGTGATCAGAAAAGGTCACCCCAAATTCTGGGGATAGGCTGGGGGCCAAGCCTGAAAGAATGAGAAGGCCAGAGCATCACTTCCTCCAGTCTCCCCTGGACTTTAAAAAGCCAAATGACAAGGAATGTGCGCCTTGTAGAGAAGTTTGAGTTTGGGATTGGCCAAACATAAAACGCTTCTGATTAACCTAACCTCCAACTTACGCAAAGGAGCGGGAGACACAAGTGCCAAAGGAGAGCGTGAAACAGGCGGCGGGAGGAAAGGGAGGGAGTTTAACTGGAAGTGCTCTGAATGTCTGGGACAGCGCTTCCCACGGGAGTCCGGCCCTGGAGCACCTCCAGAGTCCGGGCAAGGGGAGCTCTTTGGCCTTTCCTCTCGCGCGTGTGACTGACTGCAGGGCGGGGTCGGCCCCGGGAGCCGCGCAGCTGCCGCTCTGCGGGGTCGGACCCCGCACTGGGCGCGGAGGGTGCGCCGCGCTCTGCCCCCTCGGCCTGCGTTCCTTTCCCGGGAGGGTCCGCCTCGCCCCGGGCCCCGCCTCCCTCCAACCCCGCCGCCCCGCAGGCAAATATTAGAGGGTGCCTATGTGTAGAAATTGTGTCAAATAAAGTAAAGCCGTTTGAAGTTTCCAGAAGGCCACCCACCGCCGCTGAGAATCTTCGCTGGAAACCCGGGCTGCGGGGCCGCAACACCCGAGCCCGGGATTCATCGCACCCAGGCCGAGGAGACAATCTGCTCCTCCGAATCAGGTTCATTTTCTCCCTTTGGGGAAAGGAGAAGCTAATTAAGTTACGCTCTGGCTGTAGTGATGGAAAACATGAAAGCAGACTCCAGGGGCTTGCGCCTCCAGGGCGCGTTATCTGCCGTTAGCCGAAAACCTCGGGAAAGTCCTAAGTTCTAGGGTTCGTAGGAAGCCCTGGGTGGCCGGCTGCCGTTCCCAGTCGCGCCTGGAGGCTTGTGCACCGCGAAACGTGAGGCTGGGAGGAGGGGCAGCCCTTTGTCGGGTCCTGCCCCCTCCTTGAGCTTGGGAGAGTGTGCCGCGCGTGATAATACCCAACCCCCTCCCCAGGTCTGGGGCACTGGACCGGGCTTGGAATCCCGCGGGGGGGGGGGGGGGGGGGGCGGGGTTCCCAAGTTTGGGGTGAGCGAGAGCTTGGAGGGAGATCTCAGACTTGCGATGGCTCGGGGATTGCGGGGGGAGATCCTGGACCTGCGTGGAGCCTGGGGTGGAGGGGAAGTGACCCTTAGTTTGCAGTGGGCTGTGGAAGGGGGAACTCCTGGGCTTGCGGTAGGCTGTGTGGCGTGGGGGCGGGAATCCCGGCTGGCGAGGGGCTTGAGGTGGAAAGGGATCCTGGGCTTTCGGGGAGCGGAGCGGAGAGTCCCGGCTAGTGTTGGGGAGGGAGGAAGGATCGCTGGTTGGAGGTGGGCGGGGAGCTGCGGCGGGTGGGGGTGCGGAAATCTCGGGCTCGCGGTGGCTGGGGGTGGGGGTAGGGGTGGGCCGTGACTAGCACTGGACGGGGGCGGGGGGAGCCCGGACATGAGGTGGGCGCGAGTTCCTGCAGGCCCACCCACCCCAGTTAGCGGCGCACAGAGGCGTATCTCCCCCGCGCGCACACCCCTCGGGCCCCGCCGGTTTAGAACTGAGCGGGTAGTGAAAGGCGAGCCCCTCGGCCAGCCGCCGCCGCGGCTGGGGGCCGAGCCGAGAGGTCCGTCCCCCGCGTCGGACCCGCCCTGGCCGCGGGAGGCGCGCGGCCGCCGGGTGTGAACGGCGGCGGTTTCTGCGGTGTGGCCCGCGGCCCGCTGGAAAACCAGCCTGAACTTGATCCCGAGCGCGTCTAACTGAGGTCATGGGAAGCGGGAGGGCGGAGGCGCTGGGGGCTGGGCAGAATGGGAGCCCTGAGCCCGGAGAGGGGCGGAGGAAGGGAGGGAGGGAGCGGGAAGCGGGGAACTCCCAGCCGGTCCCCAGCGCGGGGTCGCCGAGTGCCCCCTGCGGCTCCGCCACGCCCGCCCGACTGCCGCGCAGCTGACTGTCGGAGTTGGAAATCGGGCTTAGCGCCTACGCACACTGCACCTAGACGAGCGCCAGCTGCACTCGGGAACCGGCACCCTGTCCCCCGACTCCAGCCCGAACCCCACCCCGGCACTCACCGCCGCCTCCGGGCCTGCTGTTTCAGCTTCCAGTCCCAAGCCGCCGGTCTCCTTCCCACACCTTTAAGATCTGCCCCGCAGCCGCCTCCCTACCTTCCAACCTTCCTCCCGCCAGCAAAGCCGGTGCCCTCGGCCAAGTGCCCGTTCGCAGCCTGTTATCAAGTCCTAGAGAGAATTTCTCCAAAATATTTCCCGAATCCTGCGGCCAAGGGCCCGAGTTCCCGCCCCTCCATCTTCCGTCTGGATGCCTGCAGACTTCTCCCTGGATTTCTAGTCTTTAGCCTCTTCCCCTTCCTAATCTATTTTCAACACCAATTTCCCCCCAAAGCGTGTTAAAGCACACAGGGACCTCGGTGATTGTAAACCTCGTATTTCCCCTGTTACTCAGGTTAAGCATGCTTGGGCTGGGGAATAAAAACTGAGGGCTTGGGCTCACGTTTATTGAGCAAGACTTCCTATACACGTCATTGTTAAACACTTCAGATGGATATTCTCATTCAACTGCCAACAATCCTTCGGGGTAGGTATTATCAGGTATTATTTCTATCTCTGCTTTGTAGAATAAGAAATTGAGACACAGAGCAGCAGAGGCAATATGGAACCAGGCAGTCTGCCCTTGAGTCTGTTTCTCTACCACTGCAGTGCTCTTCTGCAGAAACCTTGACCTTCCCAACGGTGATGGAATGACCCACAGTACCAGCTGTATCCTGGGGGCCAGGTGGCAGCAAAGGATCTGTTAACAGCAGTACTAAATGGATGGGGCATGTGGATGTCAGGTAAGGTTTGATCTGGAATGCCTCAGAGGTCCCATTGCTCTTCCACAAGCCTTTAGTGGATTAGTGGTCTGAATTTCTGGACCTGGACAAGTTAGAACCATCTCCACATTTATCTCCCCCTCCTGTGCTCACCTGACAGCTTTCTCTATTATCCTCAGTCAGCTCCTCTTGCTTGGGAGCATCCTGGAGACACCACAGGTGTCCCACCCACAGGGAGGACTAGCAACATATTCCTCATTCTCCCACAAACACAGGCATCACTAGTGTCCTCTCATCCCCAGCCCCTGCCAAGCATCAGCCTGTGGCCACTTCCTTTGCATATAAATGAGGCCATGTCTGGGCTGCCTTTGTCCTGGGTGGGGGTTGGATTTTCATCACTAATTAGTGGCTGGGAAATCAGGAGTCAGCAGTAGTCCCCTTTCCAGGACCCACCCTGCCCCCATTTCCTGCCTGGGAATTAGGGTGATTCCTCCCCACCCATCCTTCCATGACCTGGGTAAGATGGGCAGAGGCTCCAGGTCAACAGTGAACAGGGACTATGTGATTAGCATTTGCCCTAGTGAATCCCTGTGTTTTAATTCTGTGACCTTATCTGTTATGTAATGCTTATGCTGTCTTTTCCTTCCTGGAATACATACCCTATCAGCAGCTTTATTGCTTTTTTTTTTACAGAGTTTTTAATTAATTTGGGGGTATACATCCATAAAATGAAATTCAAACGGTACAAAAAAGCATACAGTTTCCCTCCTTCTCAACCAGGGGCAAGCTTTTCCATCCCTAACTGTTAGCAGCTTCCTGTATGTCCTTTTCAGAAATAGTCCACACATGTGTAAACACGTGTCATTTCTTTTAACTGCATTTTTTATGTCTTTTTGTATTAACACCTAAAAAGTATACTAATTGATGCTTTGGGAAAAAAATCAGCACAGTTTCAGCATGGAGCCCTGAGATTCTCAGCTTAGAGCTTGTATCCTGTGGCCTAAGCTCTATTCTCAAATGGGGCTGCAGCAGGAATGAGGAGGCGTCCACCTCCAATAGAGGCTGAAAGGTTTTCCCAGGCTCCTCTGGGGCCAGAACAAAAAATACAGCAGGATGTGCAACATACAAGGTTTGGAAAGACTTAATCATGATAGGAGGGTTTGCTAGGTGCTGGAAGCTAAGAACCCCTGGATGTCCATCAAATGAAAGAGTAACCAGAGATCCTAACCAAACAAGGGTGGCTTTCTCTTTTCTCAAGACAAATTTTACTATTTTTCTGGTGAGGGGTGTTTTCATATTGGCATTTATCTACAAAGATGGTCTAAAGTTAGGTCCTTCCTAACTTTACCTCTTTTAAACACTAATTGCTTACCAAAAGTGAACCAAAGCACCCCCTATGAAATGCTACTAACTTATTGCTCCAGTAGCCAAATGATTCAACTCCTGTGCCATAGTCTGGTCACATCATAAACAGAGGCAGAGCTGCATACACCATGCAACCAAAGCTTTCCTTTCCCTGGCCAGAGTCCCTATATCAGTACCTTTTTCCCTTCCATTCTTTTTTTTCCCCCTTCCTTCCTTCCAGCACCTTGGTGGAGGCACTGGTGACTGGGAAGAGGAGAAGATACAAGCAGAGGGTATGAAGGGAAGGGAGAGACGAACATTATTTGAAATCTGCCTCATCAGTCTGGTCATTCAGGAGAGAACTCTCTTGGCTTTCTAGATGGGATGGGGTGGCCTGTGACATCACACAGCAAATCGCTACCTCCTTCTTGAATGTTTTGCTCCCTTCCTTGAAAGCTGTTCTCCTGGCCGTCCTTGCACATCTATCTGTCGTTATACCTCTGTCAGTCTTGCCCTGGTAGGCTCCTGTTTTTCAGCTTGTCCTTTCCATGTCCTGCCAGGCTGCCTTCAACCTGGGGTTAGTCTCATACCAGACGATCTGCATTCATTGCCATGCTTGTGACCAGTCTATGTGGGGGTGATTGCCAACCTTCAGTGCCACCCCCGACTCTCTCCTGAGTTTCACACTCACACCCAGCTGCTCTGGTGTGACCATAGTGCCTTGGGCGATCCACGGGCAACTTGTGTCCAAAGTGGACTTCTTCATCTCCAGCTCTGTACTCATCTTGCTCCTGTGTTTAACTCCCAACTCAGTGATGTCACCATCAATCTTCAACCTTATTTCCCAAATCTGAGTGCCATCTTTTTCACTGGTTGTCTCCATTTCTCTCAATTACTGTGTTTACTCAGAAACCAAGTCTTAACATTTCTTGACCCTACCTCCTCCTTTCGAATTTCCTACCACTGTCCTAATGCTTCAACCATTGCAGTGCCTTCACGTCTTTCACTTCTTAAGTCTTCTAGAAAAATCTATAGATCCGTCTGGTAGAACTCTTTTGATTGCAGTGGCACAAACTGACTTAACCAAAAAGAAGAATTATTGGTGTGAGGCTGGTTTCAGGACTGGCTTGATATGGAAACTCAATGGCCATCACTGAGGCCCAGGGCCTCCTTCTCACCACTCAGGTCTACCCTTCTTCCAAAGCTGGCTTCATCCTCAGACTGCATGCAGTGGCAAAGTGGCAACAGAAACTCCAGCTTGCGTGCTGCCAACTCCAAGTCCTGTAGGAAGGAGCCAGGCCTAAGTCATGTGTTCCCTCTGGTCTGGGAGAGTAGCTCCTGACCTCATGGACTGAAAGTGGTGGCGGCATGGAATGGAGCCAGTTGGTGGGAGTAGTGTGAACAGACAGTGAGCAAGCAAAACACATCAGAAGCCCACCACACATCTGACCCTGTTATTCCTCTACATAGAATTTTCCAACAACTCCCTAAGTCAGACTTTAACAATCAAAACCTTGTCGAGGTGATTTGACTTCTGTCGATACACAATTTTAGTCATTGTGGAGCTTTTTCACTTTGTTTGCATTGATAGTTTCATCAGTAATCTTGAATAAGAGTTGAATTGTTTTTTAAGATTTTATTTTTAAGTCATCTCTCCACCCAACATGGGGCTCAAACTTACAACACTGAGATCAAGAGTCATATGCTCTACCAACTAAGCCAACCAGATGCCCCAAGATTTGAATTTTAAAACTGATCATTTGGATTTCTCTCTTGACTTGCAAGGGAACCCTGAGCAATGCATGAGACCATGCCTCTGGGAGCCCTGGGGAGAGGGAGAGTGGACTTCCAGTTAGGAGCCTGTCAGGAAGACAGACCCCGCCCCATATTTTAATAGAGACAGCTAAATATAGTGAATTGGTTGAACAGGTGTTGGAGGGCTGAAAGACTCTAAAAAGAGACACACAGAGAATCACTGAAGAAAGCAGCTGGCATTCCCGAGGAACAAAGGGAAGAAGGCAGCATCTTAGAACCCAGGTCCTAGAAGCCTGGAGAAGGGGCCCTGAGGAGTTGGAACCAGACCTCAGTGCCAGCTGGCACTGGAGCTTTGGAAGCTCGGAGGTAGACTTCCCCAGGACTGGGCTCACATCTCTGAAAGTGGACCTCCTTGCCAGCAGGTGCTGGCCTCCCTGAGGGAGGGGATAAGGCAGACCCCAGGAGTGAGGAGAGCAAACTGGAAAACTGGAACCCCCAACCACTGTTGGGGTCACAGTCGACTGTTGTGGGGTGATGCTGACAGGAACAGGAACAAATAGAAGGGGACAGGTCCTGCAGCCTCCCTCTGGTGCCCCCTATTGGCAGAGCCCAAAGGGCGACCCGCATAATGGAGGGTTGGGAGTCCTGTGGAGGAGAGCAGATGGGGTGGATTGGGAGCTTAATACCTGGCACAGGGGAGAAGAGGGTAGAGGGAGGAGATTGGGAGCAGGATCATGAGGAGGGGAAGAGACAGAGCTGTGGGAGCGGGTGGGAGAGTTCCCCCACCTCAGTCACCTCTTCTGGGCTGCAGAAGGCACAGAAGAGAAACCCTCAAGACATAGGGCAGCATCAGAGCCCTTCTCCTTCCACCTCACAGCCCGGACTTAGTGACACACGCCACACACATAAACACACCATGCACACACACCACATACACATACAGCACACACACATATACCACACCACACACACACACACACACACACACACACACACCATACCTACATATACCATCCACCACAGACACATGCATACCATACTTTTGCTCATGAGATTCTTTAGCTCAGGTCCAGTTCTCTAGGAGCAGTTCCGGGACTAGATGCGGTCTGCATGTGACATATTAAAGAAGTGCACCAGAGTAGATGGGTCATGGAGGGAGAGAAGCCCGGAGGAAAGAAGGGGAAGCCAAACAAGGGCATGATTTCAGGCTACATCTCCTGAGAGTAGGCTCAGCCTGATTCTGCTGGGGACTCTGGAGGGTCAGTTGTGCCCAGAGTCATCCCAATCTGATGCCTGGGAGACTGGATTTCAGACTCTTGCTCCTGGGAGTCAGTCACAAGTGTCCGGGAGCTCCGGAAATGCCACATGTGCGCCGCCATCCTCCTGGCCTGGTAACTGCTAACCAGTGGCCAGTCCTGCAGTTCCATACCAGGTTAGGATGGGTGGTCATTCAGAGTTGCCACGAGTAGAAGGTCCGTCCTTCCTTCCTTCCTTCCTTCCTTCCTTCCTTCCTTCCTTCTTTCCTTCTCCTTCCTTCCTTCCTTCCTTCCTAGTCACCTTCCTTTCCTAACATTTGTGAGCCCTGAGTCAGATTGCACATGGCGGCCCCAGCCTGCAGCCTGCCCTCCTCCTCTCCCCGCTCATGACTCACGGAGAAGGGCCTTGCTTGCAATGGTGTAGACATCCCAGCTGTGTCCATATAACTCCACAGCTCCACCAAATGCCTGCCCTTTGTCCATCCCTTTTCAAAGCCCGGCTGCTCCCTCCTTTTTTCTATGAGCTACGTTGAACAGTTCCAATAAATACATCTTTCTGAGTCAAATTGCCCAGGGAAAGGTCTGTTGCTCTCAGCTGCAAGACTGGCTGACACACGAGTGGGGAAAAGTCAGTGGAGGGGTCCTAGTACCAAACTGGAAATTTTCCAAATGGCCCTTAACATTTGAATGGATAAATAAGTTGGGGTGTGTACACGCAATGGGATACTGTGTAGCAGTAAGAAGCAACTGTTTTCTACCATATGCAATGATATGCATGAATTTTGCAAATATAATTAGAAAAAAATGATGAATCCACATATGTGAAGTTAAAAAACAGACAAAACTAACCTGTGCACCATCACGATGTTGCCGTAGGAAATGGAAGGGACACAAGAAGGATTTCCAACTGCTGGTAATGTTCTCTTTTTTTTTATCTGGGTGCTGGTTTCCTGGGTCTATTCAGCTTATGAACATTCATGAGCTGTACCTTATGCAATTCCCTGAAAACACGTTATACTTCAATAAAAGTTGGGGAGAGGTGATGTCAGAAAAGATCTTTCCCCACTGAGTATTCCATTGGCAAAACCACCCAAAGGAAACATGGCAATTTCGGGACCTGTAGAAATAGAACGATGCCCTAGTTGTCTTAGCTCATTCCAAGTATGTAAGGTTCTCTCACATTTGTGTAAACTTCTACATTTCTATGCATGTCAAAGCGTCATTCTGTCTTGATCATGTTTTCTACTGCCTGTGCTTTATGATACTTTGACATCTTGGGAACCTGGGGACCAACCAAGCAAGGGACTGCCCTTCCCAGAATTAGCTATTTTCTGCAGATAGCAAACAACTTGCCTGCATGTCTTTCATATGCAAACTACCCCCTCCGGAACCTAGACTCCAAACCACCTCTTCTTTCTGGCTTTTACAGTCTGGGAGGCACTAGAGGCAATATTCCTGGTGCTAGACAATGAGGGACCACCCTCATGACTCAGAGTCTGCAGAAATTATGCATACTAGCCAATCCTAAATCTGCTCAGCTGCGTAGCCTGCTCACTGACTCCTTCCCCTTGAAAACCACAGTAAAGACTCATGCCCATGCTTCCTCCTCTCTCCTTCTGCCTCCTGTTGGATAACTGCTGTTCCCCTAGGTCTCCCTGCATGGTGTTGTGCTGTGCCTCCTGTTTCTAGGAACCTGTGAGTATAGGCTTCATCCTTCATGACAGTCATTTCTGCGTATCTTACCAACCTGATAAATACAAACCCTGGGTATGTTTTAAAGTATATCCATTCATTCCACAGTGTTTCTGTACCGTTTTAGATGCTAGGGATAGAACCATGACCATGCAAATAAGGTCCCTGCTCTCCTGGACCTCATGTCCAGAGGGACAGACATAATAAACAAGCAAAGAAATAAATATTTCCAGATAGCGTTAAGTGGTGTAAATGAAAGATGCCAGGGTGGGTCATTTTATGTTGTTCTGTCTGTTTTGTTTGTTTTGTTTTTTTGTTGCTTTTTGAGCAAGACTGGTCAGAGAAGATGTCCCCAAGGAGATGACACTCAAGTCAAGGCCTCAGTTGTTGCTTGTATGCCACGGGCACCCAGAGATCCGTGCTGGGTGTTTGGAGGCATCCAAAATAACCAGAATGAGGTATCTCTCGCCAATGCCTATCCAGAACACACCATCTCCCTTTCTCAACAAGCAAAGCAGGGTTTGAATCCAAGAGAAAATAATTTCCCGGCATCAGCAAAATCCACAGCCTACTCCAATCAAGTTGCCTTCTAAATGCTAGAAAGCTGAGGTGTCCAAGTGCCAGGACCCAGGGGATGGTTTGGCTGCATGCCAGAACCCTTCGGGCAGCAACCAGCTTGCGTATGTATTTATATAACTGGTTGCAAAGAAAAAGTAAGCGTACAGATTCCTGAGCCCTCTTCGCTCCGCATCCCTGAGGACCCACCGCCTAGCTCAGCTTTGCAGTAACATAAGCCTTCCCTGCTCAGTGCAGACCTGCCCCCTTGCCTGCTGTCCCAAGACCTGGTCTGGGAGCTCTTTATCTGGGCCTATTCCGGGAGCGGCTGGTTGGTCATCCTCCATCCACATTAACTGCACACAGGCATTCCACCATTTTTTTTATTAGATCCAGCTTACTGTGGACAAGATTAGAATCATATTAGGGTAGAAAAACTAAATCACAGGCCCCCGGCTGAGCAGTGGCACATCATGGGTCACTGGGGTAGCATGGATTTGTCTGGAGGCCTGCCCCTGAGCTCTGTATGTGCCTGGAGGCGGGGACAATGGTGGCAGCTTGCACACGCCCCTTCCTCAGAGCTCCCGGGCTGGACCCAGCTACCCCACCACTGGGAACCTTCTACACACACCTTGAGCTCCGAGGCCAGCATTCCTTCATCAAGAAGAGACCAGGGACCCCAGATCTGAAAAGTCACTCCCCCCCCCCCCCCCATGTCTCCCACCAGATCCTCCAGGAAAGAGCCAATTCATCTCATTTGGTACAACTTGAGCTGAGCTGAGCGAGTCCTGCTTTGTTAAAACAGAAGTTACACTGAGCACCTCGCTCAGCCTTTTTTTCTCAGCCTGGTCTCTCCGCATAGGTGTGCCTGCGACAGCTCCTTCAGGGGACATTTCTTGTGAACCCCAGTCTGGTCTGGCTCTGTCATTTCAACCGGCTTTGTTTATCTTTGTCTCTGAGATTCTGAGAGTTTGTCTCTTGCCATATATCTCCCTGATGGGTTTGTTTGGGTATTTATACAAATGCAACCCTTCAGCTTTAATAGCTGTCCTGGGGGAGCCTTTTTATCTGTCGGTAACGTCATGCTCCAGGGCAATGAAAACCCAAAAAGACCCTGTCTTACCTTGGGGCAGTTAAAACCAGCTGAAATCTCACCAAAAGCCTGGGGATGGCAGAGCCAAAGACGGCTCCAGAGTGGGCAAGAGACAATGCTGGCCATCTCTAAAATGCCTTTGTCTTCCACAGACTCCATCAGGCCCTTGATGGCCTGTGAAAAGGTCCATTCTCAAATTCTCAAGGCTCCCAGCTGGCTTAAAAATGTCAACAAAGAATCTTTCTACTTATCAAGTATTTTATTTCCCTATTTAAGCAAGAAGTCTGCAGAGAAGAGGGCCCAAGCTCCCGTTTAATCTAAGAACCAGGACTCAAGGGTTTCATGTTGGCAATTTAGTAACCTGTATGCATAGACGCTTCTTTGGATAAATCAAAGCTTCCATGGAAAGTGTCTAAACCCTATAAAAGTAATTTATTTGCTTATCCACCAAATTATAATATTCATTTTGTTTGTGTAAACCCGCCAGTCGCCAGTCATTAATATGAACCACAAGAAACTGTTTCAAGTAGGATTTCATTCCAGGCATAGTTTCCAGTTTGAATCTGACATATTATACCTGGGAGGATTGCAGGAAACCATAAATAATTCCTAATTCCTCCATTAGATCTATGTATAATATAAAGATTTTTTACTGTTTAAAAAAAGCAAAAAAACAAAAAACACTGTCACCAGGAGGCTGGGAACCAGGCCTCCAGGAAGGACAGCTGGCCTCAGAATGACAATGCCCCTTCTTGTAGGCATCATGAAGTAAGAGAGGCCCTTTCTGTCTATGGTCGTTCAGTAGTCACTCAAAAACCTATTCTGAGTTCGGCACACAGTTCGAATCCAGGCTCCCAGAGCAGGATCTTGGCCAGCACCGGCTGGCAGCGAGTGGGTTTCTCCCACAGGATGGGAAGGGAGGCCCAGGAAGAAGCCAAGAAGGAGCCAGCGGTCACACTGGGTTGTGGTGACCGGCTCGGCCCAGTCAGCAACCTGCACATTGGAAAGCACATCAGAAAGCTGGCCCAAAGCCTCTCTCTATCCTCCCAGGTTGAAAGGAAAGACAGAATCTTCCGAGCACTTCATGATGACGGGTTCATGCCAACAGGTCCTGTTGTCTGATGCCACCACCTGCCAGCTTTGAAGGACCCCCAGATCATTCCAGCTTGCTAATGTATCTGGAGAAGGAACCAGGGGAGACGCAGAAACACATGCTAGAGGCCAGAGGATCTTCCAGCCACATTTGAGGAGTGCCCACTTGCTTGAAGCTTCCCTCATGTGGCCCATCACAGTGCCTGACCTCTTACTTTACAGCGTCTTACATTTTTGTCAATGCCAAGGAGGCTCATTTCCCCATGATTAATCACACATGTGGCAATGGTGAGGCCTAGACTTTCAGAGGCTTCCTTGGCCTTTAACACACAAACAAGAATTAGGTGGGTGGGACACGGGGGCAAAGGCACTGCAATCAAGAGAAGGTGCCAGGGCGCCGGATGTGATGGCAGATCCATCACAGGATGAGGATCTGTGAGGCCGGGCAGGGGCATCTCTGGAGCCCAGGGGGCTCCGTGTGCCCAGCTAAGGGGGTTGAGATTTCCCTTAAAGCAAGTATGAAACAACTGAAAATCTTTGCCCAAGACAGACAGACACAAGGTTAGCCTTGCTGTTTAGTAAAGCGCACTCTGGTCAACGTTGAGAATGTGTGGAAGAGGGGTCAGAGTGCAAGCAGGCAAACCAGTAAGGAATGGAGGTGAACCTGACCTAGGCCAGTGCTTCTGGAGGCATCTGTAGTGTGCAGTGTTTTGGTCCCAATTCTTGGATAGATACTTTTATAAAATGAATTATCTGAAAAATGTGATTTTAAAATACATACAAAATATAAGCCCTAATATTTTATCAAAAAATTTTTTTTAATTGAGATAAAACACGCATAAAATTTACCATTGTAATCGTTTTTAAGTATCCATTTCAGTAGGGGCACCTGGGTGGCTCAGTCGGTTGAGCATCCAGCTCTTAATCTCAGCTCAGGTCATGATCTCACAGCTTGTGAGTTCGAGCCCAGCATAGGGCTCTGCGCTGATGCATGGAGCATGCTTAGGATTCTCCCTCTCTCTCTCTCTCTCTCTCCCCCCCCCCCCCCCCCCCCGCTCACGCGTGCTGTCCCTAAGAAATAAACTTAAAACAATATTTAAAAGTATACAGTTCAGTAGAGTTCAGTATAGCCACATTGCTGGGCAGACAATCTCTGGAAATTTTCCATCTGGCCAAACTGAAACTACCCATTAAACAGCAGCTCCCCACCCCTCCACCAGCCCCTGACAGCCACTCTCCCCTCTGCCTCTGTGACTTTGACTATCCTAGATGAGGACCTCCTATAAGCAGAATGATACAGTATTTGTCCTTTTGCATACAGCTTGTTTTACTTAGTATAGTGTCCTCAAATTCACTCATGTGTTGTAGCACGTGACCAGTTTTCCTTCCTTTTTAAGGCTGAATATTATTCCACATTTTGTTTATCCTTTCATCCTATAATGGATACTTGGGTTTCTTCTACCTTTTGGCTGTTATGAATAATGCTGCTACGAACATGAGGGTGCAAATATCTCTTCACTTTCCTGCTTTCAATTCTTTGGGGAATATACCCTGAAGTACAATCGCTAGATCACATGGTAATTAAAAAAAATTTTTTTGGAGGGACGCCTGGGTGGTGCTGGTGCTCAGTCAGTTAAGCGGACAACTCTTGATTTTGGCTCAGGTCGTGATCTCATGGTTCATGGGATCAAGCCCTGCGTCTGCACTGTTAGCTCAGAGCCTGTTTGGGATTCTCTCTCTCTGCCCCTCCCCTGCTTCCTCTCTCTCTCTCTCTTTCAAGAACAAAGAAATACATTTTTAAAAGTTTTTTGAGGAACCTCCATACTCTTTTCTACAGTGACTGCACTGGGATTTTACAATCCCACTAACGATGCACAAGGGTTGCAATGTCTCCACATCCTCACCAACACTTGCTACCTTCTGGTTTTTTGATAGTTGACAACCTAACGGGTGTGAAGTGAAGCCCCAGCTTTTTATTATGAGATTTAACATGTATAAAATTATCCATTGGGCCCTGTAACTGTTTAAAACACTTTAGGGTTATAATGTTAAAACACTGACTCTCAACTTCTGCACTTACCCCATTACAGACCAATTAAGAAGCATTTCCCAAATTGGCTCTGGTCTGTGACTCAGACCCTGAGTAGCACTGCTTGGCCAATGCCTGCCACCGGGGGGAAGAGGACCGAATGGTCAGAGCCACCCTTTCTCGGCTCTTATTCCCTGTTACCAGCACAACATGCCTACAGAGTAGATACTGTTATTATGCCCAGTTTACCAATGAGAGAACAGAGGCCCAGAGATTAAGGACCTTGCCTGATCTATGTCAGCAGCTTGAGAGGTGGCAGAGGGAGCTGGGAACCCCAGCAATATGGCCTCAGCCTTTATCGTTGTTGTTGTTGTTGTTTTGTTGTTTTGCTTTGTTTCCCAAGATTGCTTAATTGATTGGCCATATGTGGGGGAAAGATGGAAGGCTCCCAGGCTCTGGCTTGAGTTGGACAAGGGTGCTATGTTTGGGAGGGAACACAACTGGTCTGGTTTGGGACGTGTTAAGGTTAGTGTTCACAAAGGACATCCAGGTGGAATGGTGCCAAGGGCATCTGGGCAGTAAGTTCTGAGCTCCCAAGCAAAGACTGTTCAGTCGAGAAAGGCTAGGGAGGGGATAGAGCATGAGTTTGGTGAGATCCCTCCGAGACATCAAGAGCATTCTAGGAGGAATCAGGGAGCCAGAGGGGAGTGAGGAGCCAAAAGGGATGGGGAGGGAGTATGTCAACAGAAAGGAAGTATCAACAAGGAGCCCAGGGCTATGTGGAAGCCACACAAAGCAGAATATTCTGTGGAGCTGGCTCAATGATGGCCCCATCGATATCATGGAGGCTGGGGATGTAGAGGCTAGACTTCAAGGGATTGAGAGGTGGGGAGTGGTGAAAAAGAATGGGAGAAGTAACCAAAGTGCAGATCACTCTTTCTAGAAGCCCACCTGTGAAGGGGAGAAGACAGAAGACAGTCCTGAAGGATGCTGTGGGTGTGTTGCTGTGGTAGAAGAGGGAGTGGGCCAAGAATGGATTGCTATTTTGTTTTGTCTTTAAAAAAGAAAAGTCTGGAACAATCATGAGTTTGTTCATAGTTGGGCAGGGAATCCAGCATAAAGATGAAAGATTGAGAGGAATCTGTGCCAATTGCTGGAAGGATGGAATTAGATCCAGAATGATCCAACTTGAATAAAAAGAGAGAAGCCCCTCTTCCACTAAGATGGGAGGAAAAGTAAGTTTATGATATAGGTTCATTTGTGCAAGAGGAGAGGAGGCAATGAAGTCAGAGGCAAACCGCCTGCTGGGAGTAGTGGTGTCTGGTAGTGAGGAGAGAGACGGACTTGGATGTGCCACCAAGGAACAGCAGTGAGAGTCCCCTGGGGTCACGGAGAGGCTGCACCAGAAGCAGAAGGGTCCAGCTAGGCTGGAGCAAACGCATCAGCATTGCCCCCGTGGCTTGTTTGTGGAATCCATCAGGGTTCATCTGCCTGTGCACCATCTCTGGAAGGTGGATGCAATTTCTACCCAGTGTTAAGATTTCCTAAGTTGGCTCTGGCTGCAGTCAAGGGGGCAGGAAAACGGTTTGATTGCTCTCATGAGAGGAAGAGAATAAGGTGAACTGTGGTGGTTTTAAAGTATGCCACTCCCATGAATGTGGGCTGGCCTTGGGGACTTGCTTCTAAGGAACAAAATGTAGCAGAAGTGACAGTGAAGTGTGAGACTTCCAATGCCAGGTCACAAAAGCCCATGTGGCTTCCCTTTTGCCCTTTTTCCTGCTTGGATCACTTGCTTTGAGGAAGACAGCTGCCATGTCATAAGGATGCTCAAGGAGTCGTACAGGGTCGCCCTCGTGGCCAGGAGCTGAGGCCCCCTGCCAGAAGCCCTGTGTGGAGCAGCCTCAAGTCGAGCCTTCAGGTACCATGGCCCTGGCCAACACCCTCCTCTGCAACCTCATGAGAGACCCTAAACCACAGCCACCAGCCAAGCCCATAGAAACTGTGTGAGGTAATACGTGTTTGTTGTAGTAAGCTGTTAAGCTTTGGGGTAATCTCTATGAGCAACGGATAAACCATATACTGGCCAAGTGTGAGCACAGAGAGGGCAGACAAGGGGCCTGATCCAGAGTCCAGCTTTGGCATGTGAGCCCTGGCAGAGGTCTGAGGGGCACGAAGATAGAGGGGTTGGTGGCATGAGAATCAGAGAATCAAATGGGGCCAGAAGGCTCCTGTCTTGTAGATGAGAAGGACATGGAGAAGCCACACGCCTAGAGCTGTCTGTGAAATCAAAGCACACATGCATGGGAATAGAGGTGGGTGGGCAAGCCATAG